GTCGTGTGTCGTCCAGAAAACCACGGACCAGCTCGCCTACGAACGGGACGGCAACCTGTCCGATTGCCACTCCATCTCCAACTTGGGGCGTGTCGTGTCTCGTGTCCAAGACCTCTCTGCCTCAATTAGAGTTGCCAGTTGCCCCAAAGCCTTGGACAGGAAATAGCGGACGACACCTCGAAGCTCTGACTGCCTCGCTCCTGCAGCAGCTCCTTGGACTGCGCCGTGCCGTCGCTTCACGACCTCGTCATCGTCTTCCACGGTTATCCGTACTCCTCAAACCCCTCGAGGCGCCATCCCTCAACCCCTCCACGCCCTCCTCCTCCTCCATCGTGGGCTCGGACGCCTTCTGGATCTGGATCCGTCCAACCAACGACAACGGAGAACCACCACCTTTCTCTTCCATGTTCCCCTAGGCTCCAGCTGCATGGCACGGAGTCAGTCGCCTGCTTGTTTTTGCTTCTGCTCCTCTCCGCATCAGTCATCATCATCACTCCCCTGCGCCTTGCTCTGCGCTTACGTCCCGCCGATCTCCAAGACCTACTTCCGTGCATCCGCGCAGCTACTACCGAAATCCACAGCAGTCGCCCGGTTTCAAGCTCCGCCATTTGTTGACCAACATCGACGTGATTTAGCCTTCAATCCGGCATCACATCTCAGCTTGTCAGACGCGTCCGTTTCTTCCACCGATGCACTTGTGTACAAACAACCCGCTGCCCCCTGTGCAACCGGGCCGGGGCTCTGTCTTTCGCATCGACGAGCCATATTTAACGTCTTAGTGACATGCCGTGTATCACTAACCAACAGATGCCCTCACCCTGAGCATGACAACTGCCACCGACGAAACACGATAACACTGCAGCCGGGTTACGATAGGTTTCCCAATTTTCGCCCGTTGCATAGCAAGTTAACATGCCGGTGCACCCAAGCCGCATAGCGAATTTACATTATGGACGCCGAGTGTTACCCGCGTTCGGTCAAAGAAATTCCGGCATTCCTCAGAGACACCGCCAACGCGCAGCGTGAGGCAGAGCTGAGCGCAGGCGCCAAGCTGGCATTTTACATTCATGGCCTGACTCGGGGCCGCCATCATAGCTCGACAGACATCACCATCGAGAAACAGAAGGTAGACTTTTATTGTGTCCGCCAAGAGCGTCTATTTGATTCTGGATGGAGTGGCTTGATTCAACGAGCGTGGCACGCCTGGCAATGAAGCAGTCAGGCTAGGCTTGGTAGCGTGTTAATCATCTGGTCTTTTTTTGCCCCATCCTTGCTCCCCGCTCGCTCCCGCCCCGGGGGCAGCACGGGTGACGGCAAAGATGATCAAGGAGGGGGTCCCAGGTGCTAACTGTCTCGCCTGACGCGCAATAGCGAACGCTGAAATTCTGACTCCTCGCGTCTGATACACCGAGGCACCGGTCGGTCCATCTGGCACCACCGCTGTATCACCGGCAGTGTGCAATGGTGCTTGCTGTTGTGAACTCCGCAGTCGCAGCTCACTCGCTCCTCGTCAAATGACGCCTGGTCCTGGGGGTCTTGTGCTGCATGTCCGACGGGATTCTTGGTTGATCGGTTATGATCCCGATTTCCAGTCTATGGGAGCCTTTGTCGGTTCGTGCTTGTTGCGAATTTGATTTACCACGGCCCGGATTCGTCTCAGCTGCCCAGTCGCATTTGTTTGATACCTTACGTTCGACAAGCCGGACATACCGGTGTCAGAAGAGCTAATGGCCTTGGGTGGTGGAGAGAGCTGATAATCAACTCCTCATGGACTGGCAAAATCTGCTGGGTCGGAGAAGGGGAACTCCACTGTCGACGTCTTCTTTACAGTGCTCTCCCCTGTGAACTGCTCGTTATGTTATCCGACGACGACGACGGATTGGCAGCTACCGGTGACAATGGCGCGAGTCCGCTTCGCAGGCCTTCTTTCTTGTTCGGATGACTCGCATCATCCTCCACCCCCGGAACGCCCGTCTCTATTCAGCTGTTTGCTCTTTGCTGCGGATTATCATGCTGCCACCCTCGCTGCAGCCCTCGTTTGGTAGGGAGGCATTGGCCATTGTTAGGACGGCCCCTATCATTCCGGGCGGATGGTCTCGAGGGGCCAACGCCGTCATTCTCTGCCTCTCCAGGCTCCGGGTTCAGGCTTCTGGAACTGAACACCAACTGGCCACCAAAACTCAATCATCAGTCGCTTCACAGTGGGACTGTTCTGCTGCGCTATCCATAGTGCGGCCTGCGGAGCAAAGCCTCAGAGGTAGCAGCAGCAGCGGCGGCGGTGGCAGCAAACGCCGTCGCTAAATTGATGCCTCGAGCGGCTTAGCCTCTTGACGCCGCATACGAGGCCTGCTCCCCCCAGTACCTGGCCCTCTCAATCTATTCGTGCAAGGAAGGCAGAAATAGACGGAGACATGGTGGCTTATGACGAAAGTAGGGATTCACAGGCACACATTTCGGACTTCCTTACTTCATTTGGCTCACTTCGCTGCCCGCCGATCGTTACAGCACCACCGTGAGAGGAAGTTGGCGCGCGCTCTCCTTTTCTTTCTAGTTGCTCACGCTGTCTTGGCTAACCTTCATCCCCAGTATGACGGAGGAAGCGTCCAGCGATGAGTACCGCAGCGGTTCAGGAGTATCACACATCGGCTCTACAAAAGGTGGTGATGCTGGGCTTGATTATCCACCGCCGGTCGGAGGCAACAGAAAGGGCTCCAGTGGCACTGTCCGTGGTATCTCGTCGCTGCTGTACCCTCCCGATTTTTGGCCCCGCGCTGATCCGACTATCCGCACACCTATTGTCCGCTGGGACCCGCCTGCCCGCTGCCGCCGACCCTGAGTGAGTGAGACGACGCTCCTCCGGCCGGCCGTCCGCAATCCGCGGGTTGTGTTGGTTGTTGTTGGAGGGCGGTGGTTTTGTCTTGTCCAAATCGAACAAACTTCAGGTGTCCCCCGATCTGTAGTTGTCGGGGGTGCATTCACATGTGCGCCACCAAGCTCAACCTCGACGAGGGCACGATGAGGGGGGTTTGCTGTGCTTTGGGTTGGGGCTTTGTTGCCGTTGTGTCTTCTCCTGATGCTCCGTGGGGTTCTGAGGGAGCATCCACACTGTCTCTGACGAAGGCGAGGCGGTGTCGTAGACGCATATTGCTTTTTGACGGTCTTGCCCGGACGTTGCGCGCCATCCGCAACTGCGGTCTCGGCCGTTGGCCTTTGATGAGTATGAACTTGAGGCCTTGTATATCTAGTCCCATTGTCGTTTCCATAGTGATTTGTTTTTGGTCGTGCCCAAAAGGTTCTCTTCCACTTGATGTGACCGACGAAAGTGATTTGGAGATGTTGCTCGTGTGGACCAGTCTGAGCGTTGACATGCCTACCGCCAACACCCAAACATTGCAGCGCAGCCTACAGCGTCACGGTGCATCCCTAGACATGTGTAGAGATATGGTTGATCTGTGATCCTCGTGGTCACTGAGGCTGCAAAAAGTCGGTCAAGCTAACGACGCATGCTGCGTTGGATATTTATCATTTCACTCAGACAGACAGACACTTGAAATGTCGACTTGCTTTGGCCCGGCCGCAACCATACCTTGATGCTGTCTGCATACCTAGGAGCACACAGCTTGTGAAGCTCCGTCCAAGAGGAAAGATCGCACTGCCAATACATACTTGGTGGTAACAGATGCACATCATGTTCTTGACCGGCCCTCCGTTCCGCTATGGACTTGCTGTCAATGCCCCGGGAAGACATATAGATGATCCAGGAAAACGTTTAGGAGGAAGTGTAAGACGAAAGTGGCAGGACAATACGAACTCGATATAAGAAAACCAAGTCTTGTGAGAAAAGAACTCCACGGCGTCAGCTCTCCCGGAATCCCGTAGTCAGGTTCCTATATGTGGTGTCTCGTACAATATCGCAGTGGTGAAAAATGCAGTGTCGTCTTTTTTGTGGCGACAAGCTGAGGACCTGGCTCCTTGCCTCAGCTGGACACAGCTAGACAGTTGTCGAAAAAACAACGACCCTTTCATCTGCGCTACATGTTCATTAGTCCATGACAACCACTTAGATTACGAAGTCAAATTTCACAATGAGAACTAACTGATCATGAGCAACCTTCCAAAGCTCCAAGAACATCTGAAATCTAGAGACATAACTCCTAGATATCAAAGACTTCATGCTCCTCTGTACATCTGCATATTACCTTAGGTAACTTGAAAGCTGAGGGATGTGGATGTGCGGGCTACGCTCATGACTTTTCTCCTTCATTGAGTGCCTTGATGAACACACTCATATATTTCGTCTTGAAGAAGGCTCAGCCCAGCCTAAGCCACATTGGTGGTTGGTTGCCAATGGTGGAAGTCTAAGTTGTGAGACGAACGATACTGGTCGCCAGATTGGATATCCAAGGTCGCCTCAGCAGTCATGAATTTATCTTTGATTCTAATCCGCATCCTTACTGTGTGTCTTTGTAAATGGTTAGCAAATAGGTTAGTTTGAGAGAATTTGGAAACCACTGACTTGGTTGCCAGCTCTGTAAATCGGACTATGTTTCTTTCCAGTGTATTTGCGGTGAGAGTACCTTGTGTTGTCTAGTTAAAGTTCAGGCAGCAAGAGGTCAACTTCTCCATGTCAAGATTGACAGTAGCAGACCGTGAATCGTGGGATCCCATTCGCCGAGACTTTATCACCCACAAAGTTACTGGCGAAAGCCAAGGTCAGGTGGTAAGAACGACCTCTTTCTCTTGTCCCGCTTCAACGTTCCATCACAGAGGTTGCGTTTCGGAGATGGTATGGCACAGCTAACAAGCCGTTGAATCTTTTAATGGTCTTCGTAGATGGCTTCCCTGGGATATTTATCAAGCCAGAGGAGAGGCGACGTTTGGCATACTGCCATCCTTTTGTTAATACCTTCAACGCTGAGAACGCCCAAACATCGCGTGCTTAACATACCACACCATCCGCAAAGATGAAAAGATATCCCCTCGAAGAAATAGCCGCAGCCATGGCCCGCGATCCCTTCTCGTCGTCTTCTGTATCTCAAACTACCGAGGACATTGCGTTGGTCGACATGTCCTCACACAACGAGGCCATGACTTCGATCTTCAAGGCCGCCGAAGCACCTCGGTCGACCTTCACTCTCGACAAGACGAGGTTCTACCTCCCCGAGGGACCGCTGTCCGACGACGCCTTCTGGGTTCCGCTTCCCGACGGCGACCGCGGCAAAGTAGACCACCGCGGGCCCCACCTGATCGACACCGAGCCCATAGTCAAGATCAAAAAGCGGGGCGAGGGGCATGTCGTACCGTGGCGGCTCCTGGATCGTCGACATCGACCTCCAGCGGCCGCGGTGCTTCGTCGCGCACGGCACCATAGCGGAGGAGTGCATGGTCCGAAGGATGCAGACGGACTGCCGCGCCGCAGCGAAGAGGCTCGCTGCCACCATGGGCGGGATATTCTGGCAGCGAATTCAGGGCGGCGGTGGCGTCGACAGACTCACAAACCCGGACATCGCAGGCTGTCTGGCCCGCACGGCAGACGCGCTGTTTGAGTTCACAAATCTCACCGGGCGGTTCATCGAGGCGACGAGAAGACGGCATCTGAAGGAAGACGTGTCTCCATTGTTCAAGGGGGTGTTGAAGTTGCTGGGCATCGTGGAGTGGCACCGCGTCCACCAGGCCGTCAACGCGGTGCAGATCCTCCGGAGGTCGTTTGAGGGACTCACCGCGCGCTGTGTCACGGGCGAAGAGAAAATGGCCCAGTATGCCGCGCAGAGCTGCAAAGAAACGTACATGCTCGGTATGATGGGCTGGCGTCTTGCGCCGGACTCGATAGGCTCACAACAGGGCGCGTTGTCGCAAGCTCTGCACTCATTGCATGTACTCGGCACAGCAGACTGGATGGGCTATGACGCCGAAGAGTTAAAGGCAAGGATGGCTCAGAAGAGCACGCCGGTGTGTCTCGTCAAAGACAACTTCTTCTGCGCGTGGACTTTTGGGATGGCTGTGCGGTTTCTTACGCACCAGAACCTGCAGTGCTCTTGGAGTGCCGACGAGCTCGCCAACTGTCCAGGCCCGTGGCGGTTTGAGGGTCACATCTACACGTCGCACCTGGAGATGTTGAAGACGCTGCCCTGGGTAGAGTGCTTCACGGGGTCGGAGCATACGAGGGTACGGTTCCGTCCTGTTAGTTGCAGCGGATGCTATGATAGGTTTTACGAAGGCAAGAGGGAAGACGGGAAGAAGAGCAAGAAGGCAAACAAGGAGAAGCCAGAAGGCAAGAAGCTGACGGGAACGAGAACTTGGTGATGCATATCCGCTTTGAGGGCGCTTCGAGGTCGAGCTGAGGTCAATCCGAGTCTATGCGGCTCTGCGTGCGTGAGGCAGCATGGTTAGTCGTATTCCTACCCGTTAGATCAATAATGAGTAATGCGTCCATGTCTAAGCTGTGGCGCCGGTTATTTCCACTTGGTGGTTCAAAGAGATTGTAGTGTTGAATGACGCCCGAGCACCGGTGCCACGCCGTTGTATTACGGACCGAGGATAGCATTCCGTTTGAAGAATACTGAAATAATTATTTGGTCCTATTGACGTTTGAAAGGCACCAAGCTTGGAGGAAATGTACAGCTAAAGATTACCGTCAGCCTTATGCGCTGCGTAAATGCTGACTGACAACTTGGGGCGGACGTCATATGAGGATGATACGGGATGGCCTCGACATTCGCTTAATAGCATCGCAGTACAAGCAGTTGCTTTATGTTGGCTGGTGTTTCAACAACGGTTTCGCTTAGTTGTTAAGCGCGACACCTGGCGACTGCAAAGCGAATTATCCACCGCCTCTACCGGTGGTAGCAGAAGGACAGGTTGACGTTGTTGCAAGTGACGTAGTTTGATGGAAACAACTCAGTGACGAGTTGAAGACCCGAATGGAGAGCACACCTCCCAGCCCCAGGATGGGAGCATCAGGAGAGTTTTGCGAGTTGGGACGAAATCATGCGACGGTTGACTGGACGACTGCGGGGAGAACAGTGCCCACGTCATTGACAGCGGGAGTTTGCTGTTCTCTGCATGGTTTTACCGTTTCGAAAGCTTCTGCTGCGGAGACCAGCACATTGGTGAACCTCAGCATGGGCAATCTTGAGGCGAGCAATCAATACAAGACTGAGGCTGAGGATATGGTGTTTGAGACTAGGAGAAAGAATGAGTAGAAATACTACTGATAATATGAACATGAACACGAATAGCGTCACGGCGTTAAGCAGAAACTGAGGTGCGACTGGATGCGACAGCTGGAAACAGCTGGACGCGACAGTGACAGTCAACCGGCGGATCGTGTTCAGGCGTTGGACGGGGCGACGGGGCCTCGTGTTCGAGCTAGCGGGGAAGATTTGCTGTCGCTAAATCAAAGTAGGCAGGGGTAACGGTGCTTGAATGGGCCAATTTGCCGAAACGGTGGAGATGCAAAAAACACGAAGCGACGCTTTTATTGGATATTGAGGGCTGAAGGAGAGGTGTCGGTCAATGGAAGGGACCAAAACGGTCAGGGGGAAGGGGTAAGGGGAAAAAAAAAAAAAAAGAACAGAAAGCAGCGGTAGCGGGCTGGGCTAGACTTAGAAAGTGGCAGGAACTTCAGGGAAGGCGCTTCTTCCAGCAGGAATTCGATGGTGGATGGTTGATGGCCGTGGTCCACGTCCCTCAGCTGGCTGCCCCTGCCCCTTCCTTTTCTGCAGTGCACCACCTGCTTTGCCTTGCATCCACCTCGACCAACCACCAACCACCAATCACCAAGAACGGCTAGCCAACCGGGGAGGCGCTACCTGCCCGCCCTCCACTGGAACATTGAACGTGCCTGCCTTGATCTTGCTCCTGAGTGGGCTCTCTCCTCCCTTTTTCCACGGCAACGCTGCTCCAACGTCCCCGTCAAGCATCAGCTTCTCTGCTCGTCGGACAGCAACCGCACCCTCGCTGCCAACCACCCCGGGCACTGCACTCAAACCTCATCAAGCCTCATCTTGAATCGGTCGCTGCCCAGTCGTTCGTTCCCGCACTCTCGCTCCGACCATCGTCGCCGTCCACTCGCCGCCGTTGCCGTCATTCCAAGTCTCCATCTCCATCTCCGACCGTCACCATCACCGTCGCCTTCCACCGATCGCTTCACGTCTTGTCCCTGACCAACGTCCCGCATTCTTCTTGTCCCCTTCCGTACGACGACTACGAACCGATACCCCGACGACATCCCTTGCCGTCCATCGAATATTCATTCCCCCAATACGCGAATACCCGCGCCATCGTCTCCTTCGTTCGCGACGACGCATCCCCATCATCTCGAACCACTTCAGCCATCCATACCCAGATTACTTTCGCTGCCCCCTGTCGAGCCGCCACCACCAGTCTCTTGACAACCTTGACCTCTCTCGCGCCCATCCGTCTGCGAGCAACGACTCGAATCTCCTTGACTTGACCCAAACCCATCGACGTCGCCGTACCGCGGCCAGATAGCCCAACATGTCTGGCTTCGGCGACTTCACCGACATCTGCCACATGGCCCCGCTGCCGTTGTGCGCATCCATCGGCCCCGTCACCTCCGTGACGAGCGGCGTCGGTATCGAGCCCGACTGCTATGCCCGCAATATCGAACTAGCGAACACCATCATCTTCGAGGGTGCTGCCAGCGCTATGCACATCGTTGCTCTCCTCATGACCGTTGTCATGATTCTGCACATTCGCGGCAAATTCACTGCTGTTGGTGAGTTACCTCTGAGCTTGACGATACCCCGCGACCCAAACCCCCGCTGACTTGATATCACAGGTCGCAAGGAAATTCTCACCTTCTTCTACCTGTACATGCTCCTCAGTTTCATCTCACTCTGCCTTGACGCCGGCGTGGTTCCCCCGGGCTCGGCTCCGTACCCGTACTTCGTGTCAGTCCAAAACGGCTTGACGTCGGCCCTCGTCACTTGCTTGTTGATCAACGGCTTTGTTGGATTCCAGCTGTACGAGGACGGCACCCCGCTTTCCATCTGGCTTCTCCGTGTATGCTGCGTCGTAGCATTTGCCATCTGTTTCCTGGTTTCGCTTGCGACCTTCAAGTCTTGGGCAGGCCTCGGCCCCACCAACACCGTCGGACTGTTCGTCGTACTCTACCTGCTCAACGCCATCGAGCTTTTCGTCTACGTCGCCCTCCAGATTCTTCTTGTCGTTAGAACCCTGCAGGACCGCTGGCCGTTGGGTGACATTGCCTTTGGTGTCTTCTTCTTCGTTGTCGGCCAGGTCATTCTGTATGCCGTCAGCACACAGATTTGCACCGCCATCAGCCACTACCTCGACGGCCTCTTCTTCGCTACGATTTGCAACCTCTTGGGCGTTATGATGGTCTACAAGTACTGGGACTCGATCACGCGAGAGGACCTCGAATTCTCAGTCGGCACTAGGATGAACAACTGGGAGGTCAAGGAGCTGCTGCCCGAGGAGGACCGTCGCGCGACTGTGTACGACGATCCGTATGGTCATGTTAGCCAGGCTAGCGGCTATGACCACTCGTACTCCCCGTCTCCGGCGAGACACTCGGGCCGATACTGAGTGAGGGAAGACAATGAAGATGAAGTAGGGCACAGATGACGACAATTTCACTATAGCATTGGGTCGGATCGGCGTTTGGGAAAAACTGTCTTTCCAGGTCGGGTCGGTGCAGCACTCACGGCCGTTTTTTGAGTTTCAGCGCCCACAGACGGCCGATGCGGGGCCGACTGTGATGACAAGAGGAGGAGGAGGGTTAATAACGTTACAGGTATTGATGCCAGCGGTTATCCATAGTACATAGTCTAATTCCATTGAGATATGAGAAACCTGTGGCGTTACAAAATGTGCATATGCCCGAGATGTGGCCGCGAAGAACTTTTCCCCTTCTGGTCCATCTGGTCGACGAGATCGCAGAAGATGTCTTGATATGTCTAGATTGGAAAGTCGATTCGAGACTCGAGTTCGTTCAGTCGGACATGATGAGAAGTCGGGACGCAGTATATGGGCAAAAGCAGCCACGGCAGGGAAGAGGAGGAATATTGATTTTAAGGTTTCAGATAGGATGGATTGAAATAGAAATTCCAGTACATGAAGTAAGTAATGCTGAATTTAGTTTTTGTTAAGGAGTCTCTTGCCATCATTGAACCTTATTCAGCTGGAAGGACCTGACACCGAAGTTAACGAGGCTCTCGGATTCAGCGACACGACAAGCTTGAGTCTCCTTCCCCAAGTAGTCGTCGAGTCGAGCGTGGAAATGTTGCAAGGTGGTACTGGGTATTGTGATGCGGAGAGCTCCGGGAGAAGCAGCCGACACTGCGGGCGGCGGCGTTGCATCATTGCCGGCTGGTACACCGAAGGAGGGACTGGAGGGGACTGGAAGGTGTGGAGGAGGTTCGTTATCGGGAGCATCGGATCTGTTATCGAGATGCGCTAGTCTGAAGCTAAGGGGGTTTGCTCGCACTCTGCGCGAATCACGTGTGCTGGCGAGCACCTATTGATACCTTAGGTGAGGACGGATAAGCAACCCCTAAAGCATTTTGCGTTTGCAGCGGCTGTGATAGCACTTAGTGCACTAAGTATGCCCCCCTTTTAGCAGCCGACGGGACAGTTGACGGGAGGTAACGGGAAGGTAACCAACCTAAGGGAATGGGATGGCTTAGGAATACCTTAGGCAGAATGACGGATGGACTAGGTGGTGCAGTAACCGAAATTCTATCCGTACCTTACCTCCTTTGGTTGGAAGTCAATGGACTTAGTATTTGCAGAAGTTTATGCGCAGCTGGTCCGAGCAGGACAATGTGACAAGCTTACCTTACCTCGTGTCAGGCCAGGCCAGGCCAGGCCAGCCACCTCGCCTTGCGTTGCAAACTGCACGCAATCAACCTATTTAGTACCATACCTTGTATGCAAAGCAATTAAGCTCCACGCGCCCTATTGCAGAGCACGACAGTCCTATTGAACTTTGGCAGGGAAGGCGTGTAAGTTGGGTGCTTCTCAATGGCCGGCTGATAACAGGTTTGGGCCCGCAACATTGACAAGCAAGACTATCTAATTAGCCCAGTACGGCGGGTATGTACGTAAGTACTATGTTACGGAGGTAGGTAGTCAGGATAAGATGAGATCGAGAAAGGTGAGATGATGTGGTTAGGTTGGGTCTGGTAAAAGGTACTTCACTCAATCTGGTGCGTTTGGCCGGTTGGGCTTTCCCTTTGTTGGACTTTTTTTTCCCTGCTCCCCTCTATTGTTTCCGATTTTTAATTATTTTCATCTCGTCATGTCTCTCGTCTCTGGGTGCATTTTCTTCCTTTCTTGCACCACAGTCCAGTTTGTCTCCGCCGGTGGTCTCTCCCCTTCTCACTCTCTTCCTCCCCCTTCTATCCTCTATCCTCCAGGGCCTCTGCTGTAAGGTGTCTCGTCGCCGCATAAGGGAAATTGGCCCCGAGCGCGTCAGGTATCCGACCTTATCGTATCCGGCCGGACTCACTGAACTCCGCCGGCGTCCGCTTGCCGTCCCACAGTTGATAGCTTAGTGCTACCTCATCTCTGGAACCTCTCATTACTCCCTTCCATTGTGCGTTTCCGTTACGAATACCTGTCTTACCCCAACCAAGCAAGCAAGCATCAAGGGAGCCTAGGCGTTACAGGGTCTTGCTCATCTTGCGCGAAATCACGTGCAAACACGCGATATTCCGTCGCGCCGATTTGGCAGATTTGGCAGATTTGGCAGACTGCTGGATTGCGCCAGCAGCAGCAGAAGCAGCAGCAGCATCAAGCAGCCCGCCGCCCGCTCTTGTCTGCTCGTCGTCTACCTTACCGATTGCATCATTCATCGGCACCAGCGACAGTCAATCGCCGGTCATTGGCACCCGACCTATCTTACGGATACCAGACCTAGAGACGCGCATTCCTATCTCCCATCCCGTCACTTAGGTTGCCGCCGCATTGAAGGCCCCCACGGTCGCTCCTGTCTTTGCATTGCCGTTCTCCATTCAACAACCGTGCTCATCAATCACTCAGCCTGGACCAAGCAGCATCAGCAGCAGCCAATTCAGTTCGACAACCTCCTGAAGGGAAAGACATTGAGGAGGTTTCCTTCGTGGTCATCCCCTACACTTTGCCTGCCACCCCAACCCGACCAAAACCCGTCTGTCCATCTGCATACCTACCTTTTACCTTTACCTTACGAATACGCTCACTACCTACCTCAGCTAGTCGGCTCAATTTTCAACACCCGACATCCACTCTTCCGCTGCACTCACTACCTACCTTACCTTCCTTACCTTACTTTAGGTAGGAGGCACACTAGTACCTTCCTGTCTATCCGTACTTTACCTTCCACTCACACCATACTATACCATAATTACTACTGCATACACCTCCAACCAACCCAACACAGCCTTACCTCCACGCTACATCTGCAGCTATAACAGCATTTTTCTCGCGCCAATACTGACGCCGCTTGACGCATCGCCCACATCCCGGGTAATCCTATCTCTCGGCGAATCTCACCATACCAGCCAGTGTTGCCACAGACATCGCGCCGTCTTCACGTTCCCCGTCCCCGCCGTCTCCCGTCTCCCGTTGTCCTCCTCCTCGTTCCCGCTGCCTTCCCCGTCCTGGAACACACCTAGGCAGGTATTCTTGGACGCTGGAAGCCCGCATTTCGTGGCAGGGTACCGGAACCGCGCCCGACGTGAAGCGGATTGATCGACGCACGCGACATTTTCGGCTGCTGCATCCCCGGAGCCGCTGCACTCTAACTCTGCTCACCACCACACCTCTCGTCTTAATGCGAAACTCCAACATTGTCCATACCGACCGCCCCTGCGAGCTGGAGTAGTCCATCTGCACATTGACACGTCTGCTTCCGACGAATTTTCACCGACCCCACGAGACTTTACTTTGGATGAACCGCACAGTCGTCCCGCCCCTCACCCGCATTTCACCAGTCTGAGCAGGGGCTCTCATCTCACTGCGCCTGCCACAGAGGCATCTTCATCATGCACTTCGACACCGGTGACGGCAGTGGGCCGTCCCGCCAAGACGAAGATAACTATTGGCAGACCCTGCTGCTATCTCACGAGGCTGAAGATGAACAGCATAACAGTAACTTCATGGCCAAGTCTGAGCCTCTTCGCATGCGCCTAGCCGCCCTGACCATGGAAAAGAGGGATCTTGAGAGGCGCATGTTGGAGGTGAACCAGGCCATCAAGAGAGAGCACGGCGGGTTGGAGGAACTCACCATGACCTTCCAAGAGGACCGTCAGAAGCTGCAAATGGACCGAGAAGCCAGAGTTCAACATATGCAGGCTTATTTCGCACAACACCGCCAAAGAGAGGACGAGAACCGTGCTAGGATCGCCGCTGCCGCCCTTGCTGCTCCCCGGCGCGATTCCGAGACTGTACGCCTTGCACACACGAGCGACGTCATGAACGGCACCAAACCCAATGGCGTCAACGGAGTGACCACTAATGGAGACCACCTCCTCAGCAATAACGGCCTGCCACCTTCCGCCAACCCACCAGACCAGCCAGTGACTATGATCATGGACGCTTCGGGCCAGCGTATCGGACCTGTTCACCGCATTCCCGTTCATGGAGCCGCGGGCGCCCTTCTCGACAAGAGCCCCAAGCGAGCGGTGCAGCTGCGTCCTGGTGTCATGTTCACGGAGCAGGACCTGAGGCGAATCCATGAGGACAAGGATCTCTGGACCGCCGTTATGATCCAGGCCATTGGGGACCAGCAAACGGACGGAAGGCGATGCGCCGTATGCGTCCAAGGCGGAGGCCCCTTTTCAGATTGCACCATCGTGCAAGGGCTTGGATCTTGCGCTAATTCTTACTGGGAGAGACGCAAGCAGGCTGATGGTCAAGCTGTAGACCAGGCACCTCCGACTGCACAGCACGCCAAAGTCATCAGCACCCGAGATGAGAGCTTCAACGGCACGGCCACACCCATGTCCAGTCGACCTGTTTCTAGGGACAAGAGCACCGGCGAGGGATCGACCATCGCAGATGATACGGAGGAAGACCACACACCAATCACCCGAGCCAATCTCGTCCTCAAGCACGATGGCAAGGTGTACACGCACCCTGAGTGTATGGAAGGCGTGCCTATCGAGAGGATTGACCCCAGCCACCCATACTGGGACCAGTCGTGGCCTGAGATACCGCCTCTGATCCAAGCTAGTCTCGAGAGTTGGCAGGTGAAGTTGGACAACGCCTTACGAACCGGCCAGAAGGGCATGAAATTCCAGTTAGGCCGACAGGTTAACAGGGGCGGCACCATCATGAGCTTCCTGAAGGACGGAGAAATCAGCCCCTACCAGCTTTTGTCCAAGAAGTATATCACGACCAAGCTGGTGAACTACGACACTCTGTTTCGCCTGGCCGACACCTTGAAGTGCTTGGAAACATTCGGAACACTCGACATCACTCCGCTGGAGTGGCTTCGCCAGCGCCTGCATGAGATCCTCACGGAGAGGGGCTCTGATTTCAGCTTGTCCAAGACCATCCACGACTTTTACCACGATCGCAAGTACGATGACTTGCGAAAGGCGAACGGCAAGAAGAGCATCGGCAGACCGTCGGGCATGAAAATGACGCCTAGAGACTCCCCGAATTCGGCCAAGGCCACTCCAAACGCCAAGAAACGCAAAATGTTCATCAGCGAGGATTTCCCCGGCCCGTCGCCACAGCGGCCTCTCGCGCCGACGCCTACACCCCAAAACACACAGCCGATAATCAAGAACGACGAATCGGAGCGTAGCGCGCCGCCGACGCCGGATCTTGCGAGGAAGAAACTGAAGGCTGGAAGAGTTCAGGGCAACCCCAAGGATCCGGATCTCGCCTACGAGGGCTTCACCGATGTCGACGAATTCAGTAGTGACAGAATTGGTAAACACGACTGGGCCCTCAACCGCATCAAGTCTCGTCTGAACACCGTTGGTACTGGTGTAACGCAGTACTGGCACTGGATTCCTGACGATGGCGAGCTCGTTTTTGAGCACCAGGTCCTTGCCGAGGGCGAATCTGCCACGTGGGGCATCTACGCCAAGCCGATCAACTTCCATTTGGAGCTCGAAACCATGCAAGAGATCATGTGGGCTGCCGATACCGTGAAGGTCCTGATACGGTGCAAGCCCGGCGTCGTGGTTTCGGCGGACGGCAAGCCACGAGGTGATCTTCTCGCCGAGTTCAAGCGGCAACGTACCAAGAAGCGGTTTTTGGCCTTCTGCCGCAAGAAGGAGATTCCGCAAGTGAAGATTGATGCGTACGTAAATGCTATGCCATAATGGATAATAGATGGCTAACGCTTCACAGTTCTATTATTGAGCAGGCTTGGGACGAATACGAGTCGCCCGATGTACCGGCAATGGCGGATTCGGAGATTGAGTAATGGTCTGTTGCACAGATCGGAGTGATTGTCATTTCGCAATGAAAATGGTGGAGATACCCTTGGTTCTGGTCTCATGAGCTCGGAGAAGCTCGGTTTACTGGCGTTTTTTTGGTGGAAAATGGACAAAGACTGGGAAGATTCAGTCGGTTTGTCGCAAGCTACAGACTTTTATTTCGGGGCGACTTGCGCAGGCGACCGCAAGCATCGCAGAAAAGGCGGTTTGCTGAGTTAATGACGTTGAGTGGCACGCCCCAGGAGCAACTTGATTGCGCAGGCAGTCGGGATGTCTGGCTGCCTAGGACGTCTAGTTGGGTTTCCCATCGTTCAGGAGGTTCAGGTGGCAGAACTCAGATCTCTAGACTGATGGATGAAGGGGTAGTTAGGTAGCCAGGCCAAAGCCATCACAATAGAGAAGTATCTGCGGGGACGGGTGCCCATCGCTTTGTCGCAGTTTGGTTTCCGCCGAAATTACCAAGGCTAGGCTTTTTGCCCTGACGCACGCAGTAAGGCAACCCTCCCGCTTCCCTCCTTCCAACACATATGTGGCAGCCCTGACAAGCAAGTGTCGATCTCGTGTTTTGAACCGCTCTTGGCATCTGAACGAGGCGGGAGCTTATCCGGAAGTGATGGACGGGAGGACGCATTGGCGGCCCCCACCTCCGCTCCGACCGGACATCCACTCTTGTTCCGCGACCTGGGCCATCCCGGCAAGGTCCAAGGACGGCACGGATTAAGATCTGTATTTTTCCGAACTGATTCCATGACGTTATTGCCGGGAAATATGGTTTGGGCTGGTCGATACTGTCTTGACGTTCATCTTCGAGCATGATCATCGATGGTTGGTAGATGCAAGCAAACTTGGCCGCCCGTTTGCTTGGTGAAGAGACTGAGATCATGTCCAGTTCTGGATATCGGCTCGGGAGGATGCATGTGCCAGTGGAGATGTCATCACAGAAATAGCCACTCATGGCTGGGTCTTGCCAATGAGGCTGAAGTCACCCCTTTCACGGCTCAATGGGACGCATCTTCCTGATGATGCCTGGCGTTGCGGGAAGCCGCATCTCGCTTCATCACCGCCGGCCTTTCTGGATGGCAGGGGGAGAGACAGGGCAAGATCGAGCTCTTGGCTCGAATCACCCAACACCCCTCGCATCCCCGGCGAAAACCCATCTCCTGAGCTTCCCTTCTTTCTTTTCCCTCTCCTCTCGCCAGGCCTGGTGCCTCCGACGCGCTGAGGGTAGACCCTCGGTCGTCGCTGTACTTTCATCTCTTTATATCGCCGACACCTCGTGGCCTTCTCTTGACAGGCGGCTTCTCAGATGACGACATCTTCTTACGTTTGACGCCCTCGTTCCTCTACATATCGCTTCCGGTTTATTCAACGCGGTGGCTTTCTTCCCCATCATCATGTCGGCCTATGAATCGGCCTTATCTCGTCAGTCCTGGAGTTGAGGCTGCGGTGATGTCAAGCTACATGCACACTGCGTGCTTTGTTGTCTTCGTTCAGATACATCTTTCCCCACTCGTTGTTGCCTCCCCGGGCCCAACCATAGTTGGGGCAGGAACTAGGCGCCGGAAGGGCAGAGGATTGCCGTGCTGATTTTGGCCATGGTGGGCTGGGTCTATCTCCGGTGGGATTTGAAGCAGATGTGGTGTGTATCACCGCTCTCCTCGCCGGGCGCCTACCAGTCTCCGCGTCGATTCGCGAAGATGCCTGGTACTGTAAGCCACTTCCTCCTATCATGTCACACTCAGGCTAATTCGTCTCAGGCATAATGCAGCCGACGAGTAAGTCGTCTCATCACATGCTAAGCCCGCCAACGCTTGTAAACACGTCCCATCTTGCCGTTCTTGGGAAGTTCTCTGACTCGATTTTCTTGCAGGAACGAGCTGCTGCGGTCTGATGAGCACCCACGAGTACGTTCACAGGCAGCGGTGGATCGTCAAACTCCCGTACGTCGCCAGACTTCGCATTCGCCTGACTTTGCGCGGCAGCGGCCCACTCCCCAAAGATGGGGGTTCTGAGCACGAGCTGAACAGTGGAACGATGGCCTCGAAGACAATCACGGCATAATGCCATCTCGTTGACGCGGTGATTCATGCCATCTTCATGGGCTCTGTCGGCGATACAAGGCGGAAACGATTTCCGTCGGTTCGTCGCCGAACGGGAATTGAGAGACATGGTAGTCTCTAATGCTGATGACAGCATGGTTGTGTCTTTGGCGGTGGTCTTATTGCCCATCGAGTACGGTGGGCCTCGGCGCGGAACCACATGCCGACACCATTACACTGGGCCGGCGTTACGTGGATCACTTTGTACCGCCTGGTGCAACAGGTCGTCAACTTGATGAACGAGGTTGCGCAGATAGGTCGCGGGCACTCTTGGGTCATCCAGACAATGCTACAGAGATCGTTCCGTTACACCACCCAAGACGACGACAGACATCGCAGACATCGACACACCTGCATGTGGTTTCTGGTGGGCGGATAACGATTCCCCCTTCTGCGTGTGAGTATGCTTGAGATAGCCCAGCCTTTCCCGTATCTAGAAAGAAAACTTCGCTGACATTTGGATTGCTCATAGACTGTCCTTTGGCGCCCTTTGCGCCGGGTACTCCATCCCGTTACATGAGTAGGGAGCACATCAGAGAGCTCAAAGATCCACACGCCATGGCTTGTGTGGCCGGCCTCGTCTACCTGATGAGCAAGGATTGATTGACTTCGGGCCTTTCGATGCGGCTGAGTGGCCATGAATCCCAACACATCGGCGCCAGGACACGATTGCTTTGCGATAGGAAGACTGCTGGCTGAGAAGACGTCGGCGTCATGATGGGCTTCTCTGCGGTTGCGACGACGGGACCATCTCGATGGAGAGCATCATTTAACTCCTCGGTCCAAAGAGATGGGGAGCATTCATTCCCAGCATCTTCGCGGCTGGTCTCGTCTCTTCACAGCGTGCAGCTGCGGCTCAAGGATTTCGCTCTCGTCGGCGCGGAGGATCAGGTATCGAAGTGGCCTCTCGTGGCACGCACTCAGACTGATATCTCGTGCGGTCCGGATGCCCAATTACGAGTCTTCAACATCCTGGAAGGACTGGACCCTCCGAAGGTTCCTGTTGCGTAAAGTGCGACGGCAGCTCCTTCGATGTCGACTACGCCAGCACCGTTTTGATGCAGAAGGTGTCAGACGCAGAACACGACAACGGAGACAGCGCCGCCGTTTCGAGACTGGAATGCTGCGCAAGCCGCTTAGGTGCGAGATCTGGGCTAACTGCCCGTCGTCCCGCCGCGTTGGGATGAAGACGTGGGAGATGTCCCGGGAACCATCGCGACTGCAACACAGACGCCGAATGCAAGTCCTGGATGGCGACGGAAACACGGACGTAGTTCCTTTGGGCTTGGAAGATGATGGATCTCACATCCTCCAAGCCCGGTTTTCTTCTTGCTGTTGGCTTTAGCGATGGCAACCATGGTCCCCTTCATTTTAGACCTCCGAAGTCGGCCGAGAACTGGTACCTCCCTTGCCTGATCTGATAGAGGCCATTTAGAAGGCCCAAGACACGGAAGGTGTCACAAGCATCATTCCAGGTACCGCACTCTCACGCAAGGCGGATGGCAACAAATGTCTCCTCATCTGCGCTTCGGTATTTGGCCCTGGTGGGCAAGCGTGTGGTTCCGAACGAGAGTCTGACGGCACGTGGAATGGTCGCACAGTGAGTGCGAACGGCGCCTCTTGCGTTTTGCGGAATTTTCGTTTGCTGCGATCCTATAATCCTCATGCATGAGTAAAAGCAAAGCTTGCGACGTGGGTTCTGAGGCGGCTCTGGCCCTGATGTAGATCCAGCGCCAATTCCAGCGGCAGTTGCAGCTCTCTGAGCACTCCCACTTCCATGATGATCGAGCAGATTATCTTGAGGTTGCCACGAGCCCTCGGGTCTGTCATACTGCTGTCGCTTTGCGTCCAACAGTCAGAGAGCTCAAGACGAGCAGAAGTCGAAACAACCCGCTCTGCCACCAGTACCACCTGTCGTTGCGGTTCTTCATCATCATTCTGTTATGCTATCCGTCAAGCTCGATAGGTCGACCAAAAGCGCGGTATCAACTCTTCGGATTACTTTGGCGCCATAGTTCCCATGTTGTAACATCGAGCTCTGGCTCCTCAGCTATCGCCAGTCGACACAACGAAGACTAGCCGGCCCACCAGAAATATTGCCCACTTCATCGTCAACTACCAACAACGAGTCTTTAGCAGGAACTAACTCACTACATCAATGTCTCGCTGCCGCTTATACCCGCGCAGGCGCAGCCATGATGCCCTATTGCTCACGAATGGCTAGCCTAGGTACTGGATATCGTACCACAACCGGCATGACCAGCAGACCAGCATGGACAACCGGAACACGGAGGTCGTCAAGACTCTCTGCAAATGGCCTGGGCTGCTAAAAGCGCGGAGCTCTTGATTTGCTCTTGGTTTCCCCCGCCATTACCGACTTGCTCATCAAGACCGCCTCTTTCTCGAAGACAAGGGTCAAGCATGAAGGGTGTCGCAGGCACCAGCCAACCAGTACTTCAACTTGTTGTGGTTGACCTTGGTACCACTTTCGTTTGGGAAGGAAGATATTGTCGCCCAGATTGTACCCGGACAGGCTCGGACTTTTCGCCCTGCCATGCAGATTGAGAAGTGAAGATGGAAGGCGAAGAGGACTCGAGAAGACAACAACAAAAACACCAAAACACCAAATACCACGGATTCCCAGAGAACTCCAACGCGCTCATGGATATTATGTGCTGCCAGCAGGCAGCCTTGCTAGATCGCCCCGGGCCCTCGAAGTTCCTAAGATGAATTCGCCTTAGTGGGCAACAAGCAAGATGGGAATCATCATCGCTCATCATCAGAGCACTCTGCAGAAGGGCAGCCCAGACATTCCTGTCGTTCGCTCAAGTTACCATCTGTGTCTCTCGTCGTCAGATGGTTGTATCATTGGTTTCGGCACGTAGCCGCGGCTGCGATCCAGTGTACAGCGAAGAGATTCAGATTTCGCCGTGTGGTACCACATATGAAGGCCTACCGCACCGTTATCGCCTCGACAGTTCGGCCTCAACAGTTTAATCTCGATGCAATCGTCGAGCCCCATTCGCACTGGTGGGCATGTTCTTGTAGGCGAGGCGTATCGCAATACGCGTACGGATTGCTGAGCGTAATCGACGCGGCCATCGATTTCGGCGACAAGGCAATGCAATACAGCCAGAGGCAGCAGGTGAAGCTGAAGTGGTGGCAAGACGTTGAGGCTGTGAAGTTGAGGTCGCTCGCATGGACGTAGGAGTTCATGTCACCGAGTCCTCTTCCTCTCCCCCAGCAGACCATGTCTCGCAATACCTTAGGAGGCTCTGCATACCGTACTCCGCCAGACGGTCACCAGAAAGTCCCGACCCAGAGCCTTACGCAAGACTGTGACGCGTCGGCGAAATAGCTTCTGGTGCTGCTGCGTCACTTGCGCAAGTACGCCGCAAGACAATCTGCAGTACAAGAGGTGGGACACATGCCTCGATGGGACCGAGAAGATGTTCATTGTGGCGGCAACTGCTGGTGATAATCCACTTGGCGGTATCCACTTCAACAAGGAGCTGATGACCCTGTTCTGAACAAGGTCAACTGGGCAGACCCAGATCCAGGCCTTACACCCGAGAACTATGACCTAGCACTGGTAACCTCTGAGTTCATGCTCCTGGTCTGCTGGCCTTTATGGCATCAAGACCGAAAGGCTTCGGTCTACGCGCTATATTTCAGGATTTGGAACCGTCTAGAGAACGGTGCCTCGAATCGCGATTTCTCATTTGTGGCTCTGCGTACTTACGGTACTTCGGACGGCCATGGCCAGAGCAAGGCGTTCAACAAGCTAGGCATCGCCAAGGTCTTTGAGTGGAAAGAGCCCGAAGGGTACATCGCCCATCGGAAGGGCCCGAAGCTTGACGTGATGAACAAGGGATTCAAATACGATCTCGGCCCCGCGAATGTCTGTCCGATCTCGTAGGTGCCAGGCAACATCATCCACATACCGGAAGTTGAGCAGGACACGTGAGAGAACGCAGCTTTGCATAATGGTCTACTCGCCGTTACATCCGGAAGTTGAGAGCTCTATTGAGTTCGGCTTCGTGAATGATATTCATTTACTCTTTCAGCACAAGCCCCGGACCCTAATCAGCAGCAGTCCATTGCTTACCGGTTATGATGAATGGGCCACCTTCTTACCCAATAATACGGGGGGGTGAGAAGGCGAAGATCAATGCAGCTCAGTTATACATTGAAGCCCCGATGCGGCGGTTCGAAATTGAGCTGAGGCAGCAAGTCAGACGAGCGTCAGCGATAAGCTGAAGTGTTTGACTCTCACACTTGGGATATGTTCGCTGCAATCAAACAGGTGACCGCGGCAACAACTATGTCGATTGCTGCCCGTCGCTTCCCGCGTCAGCTTGCTTGGATTACTAGAATTCCCGTTCGAGCGAACATCAACACGAATGGATGCACAATAATCGCGTTCAACCTGTTGCTGCGCTCAGCATGTCAGTCTCCACCATTTCAGGCCCCGAGAAGGTCTTTGAGATCACGATGAAGCAGGTCATGAGCACCTACAAAAATGCCGCTGAACAAGAGACTCCTACCTAACAGAGAGCTCTTCCCTTCGAAGGTTCAAATTGGTGAGGCGAAGGCCCACCTGCTGAAGGGCGGTGACAAGGCGGTCCATCACGCCAATTCCACATTGACACAGACCCTAATCAGATTTACACTGAAGACTTGACGCCTTTGAAGAAGACCCGGGCCCGCTCACCTCTCGGTGTGGAGCACGACCTTCCACTCGATGCCGAGCCCGCTGACAACCTCTCCATGCTGTACTCTTTTCTCCCTGCCTATCGCCAGTCATGGTATTCTGTGTTTCCCGGCGAGATATATCGTCCGGATGTGGAGAGCGCGCTGGGTACCCAAATATTTGCTCGCAGGACAGAGGGGTGGTACGAACGCAACGATGCCAGATCCCTCTTCGCCGTTGTACGGAGAATGATTCGCATCTTATTCCTCTCTCCAATCTCTAACGGATGAGTGCGTACCCAGCGTTTTCCTGCGTCTTGCCAATCCATTGGATCTGGAAAAGAAGGATGCATTGCAGTGTCGGTCGCTTTCGCCGCCTCCACAGCGAAAACTTCGTTACCCGCACATCACCAGCAGTAACAATATGATTATTTGCTGCCGACGTTATGGCCTATCCAGCTAGCTGGTCCTGTCAGACTAACAGTTGGATCTATGAAGGAAGCACTCATCGACTCAGGGACCATCAATTGGTTCGCAATACTTCTCAGACGCCTGTTACTGATGTCTAGTATTACATCTGGCCCGATGGGGCTGGTTCTTTCACTGAACCTGCCTCACCACCGCAGGCCCTGACCCGTCTCGATGAACATCTGTCCGCCGGACAACACCAACAAAAGTGATCTGGTAAAGGAGCATCAAAGCCAAGTTGCGCCGACCATTTCTACTTACTTCCGACTCCATCAAAATTCATCAAGACCCTGCACTTCAAGGATGGATAGGCAACTATTACCCCTGCACCACCCTTGTCCGCCGCTTTCGCAAAGGCGAGACTTTGATTGAGCCTGTGCGATGGTCTCAAGCAAATTTACCAAGGTCCTGGATCTGAGCGAGCCAAAAAGGCTCGAGATCTTGTAGATCCTGGTTGATGGATATGTGCGACAGCTGCACGCGGGTGTCGAGGAACAACATCTTCACCCGGACAACATTGTCATCGCCACGCGAAAGGGAGGGGGCTCGCCCCGAGAAGCCCTCACTTGCTACCACGATACCGAGCTGGAAGCTTAGCATGACAGAGGCAGTGGCTAGGATAGAGGAGCTCAGGAAAGAGAGCTGTCTGAATGTCCAAATCGATCCTGAATTTAGTTTCTACGAAGACGAGGGTCGCCTTGGGTCCCAGGCATTCTTCTGTTGCCTAGGTGATGGCAGATGAGAAGACCAACTCCCGCATGTTCTCAACCGTACGGTTGACCAATTTTGCAGCACAAATCAGAGGCGCACTGTCTCATCAGCATGGCTGCGGCCACAAGGGTTGAAGCTGTCAAGGATAATAGGATGACCACGGCGCCCGACAAGGTCTTCGCGCATCAGTTATGAAGATTGGCATCCACAGCGCCGGATTTCCACCGTCATATACGCTCCAACTCAGTACCTATTACCAGCCCCACCTCTTCGTTCCTCGACCGGGCCATCAGCAATCAATCCATTATCTCTTCTCTACCTTTCACTCTTGCTTCGCCCAACGTAAAAGCCGTTGGGGTTCAGAAGTTTCTCTGCACTACATGTTACAAGCTACAATCCAAATAGATATCACACGATAACATTGGTGGTTTTTGCCCTGATTTTTCCTAGACGTAAGGTGATCCCACCGGAGCCCGAAGGGTATGTCAAGAGCTCAAGTCGCAAAACGCTGGCGTAAGCAACGAATGGATCCTTTAGGTCTTACTGCCATTCTGAGAACGCCCGTGGATTTCAATCGGACCAAAGCTGACTAAAACAAGCGGTTCGACAGTTTGGTCAGCAGGCACATGTATTTAAAATACTCATCGGTCCGTCCGTCGAATTGCCTAGATAGCTTTCCATTGCCCTGGTCCTGCAAAGGACTCCACATTTGTCCGCATGTCACTCCGCAAGACGTCCTGCTCGTGCTGTGTCGCCGCCAAGAGGCGCTGCGACCGAGGCTTCCCCCAATGCCAACGGTGTTCGAAGCAGTCAATTGCTTGTCACTATCCTTATCCACCTATATCCGTCTTGAATCCTCCGAACGGTTTCGGTGGATCGCGCGATGCTTTGCTGCGGTCGCTTCGGACGTCTGAAGACCAACCAGATCATGTTTCGTCTGTGGAGAGTACGCAGCAAGATGTCTGGCAGGGTGGCGAGGATGCCCGCGACGATAGCAGCTCTCTAGCTCCAGAATCAACCTTTCATGACCACGACGCGGATTGGCTGGCAGAATTGACGGAGGCTTTACTCCCAGATCACCATGTTTTGCCCGAGCAGTATCATGAAAGCCCTGCAGCAACTCCACGCCCGGGCTCTCGCAGAAGGAGATCAAAGAAAGAGCACATGAGACTGGAAAATGCCAAGCGTACCAACGGCCAAAATACGCCCAGTCCTAGCCCATCCGGCGCTCTCTCAGGAGCCATGCTTGGGCCCTGGAGTAGATTCGAGGAAGTAGACACATGGAAATATTGTGCCAACGAGATGCTCTCGTACATCTCGCTCTACGCGAAGACTGGGTCCACGCCTATGATGGTAGCAACACAAAAAATCTCTCCTCGTCTTGATCCAGTGCTTGGAAAAGTTCTAGGTGTCTGTGCTGCCCATGAGACTCTCTCAGAATCCCATGGACATCTTGTTGACCAGCTGCTGGACCGCGAACTTCAAGATCTGGTAAACACGTCTACCCTAGCTTCCGACTACGATATGACTGGACAGAGGCGTGATTTGTGCTCTATCATGAGGGAGAAGGTCGCCAGACTTCAAGCTCTTATCATGTATCAAATTATTCAGCGTTTCAGCAACAAGACAGGAGACGCCCAGAAGGCTATGACCCAAGAAGCATTGTTTGTTTCTTGGACCAGAGAGCTTGAGCTGCAGGTACAGCTACTCCAGCAACTACAGTCATCCTACGGCATGTACGACATGGCGAGTGCTTATTACACAGACCATACGGAACTACTCGAAGCAACCTATCGGACGATCATCATGTCTTATGAAGTTCGCGCTGTATACTGGGTTCTCAACCACAAGATTTGTCCTGTCTGGCAAGATCTTTTTGCGATAGTAGTCCCGAAAAGCCTATCTGGGCGAGACAAGTTGCTCTACCCCGAGTATGTGGTCGAATGGGAGAAGGGCTTGATTCCAGTAGTCAGTAAGGATGATGAGAGGCTCCAAAACTTGATCGTGGCTGCGTGCAAGGGCGTCGACGCTGTGAGACGTGCAGAAGCTTGAGTGGCAAAGGATTCGACTACATAGAAAATCCCAACTCTACCAAGCACGAAGCTCGTCCTTCCGGATTGAAGTAACGTCAGCAGCAAATGGCAGTAAGATCGCCGCGGTCTTCCGAGCTGTACATGACCCACTTTGCTCCGCAGTCCCACTGCAGTCCGCACCCGTCTTATGTCGGAGTCACGGGGCCGTGTCGGCGAACCACGATAATTCCAATGCACTTGATGGTTATAAAAGGCATGTTTGATACTGTTTTGAGCTAAAACTATCACCTCTTCACTCAGTTCAGCTCAAGCACATTCTATTCCAAGACTTCCCTTCTTACATCGAATACCATGGCGATCACAGAGCTCGTTTTCCTGCCCCTCAAAGATGATGAGGACCTGAAGGCTCGGTTTTATGAAGAACTCCCTGGCCTGATGCAGCCCAACTTTGACGTCCCTGGAGGCCCGGATACGGCAGCAGTGGCTCGAATCCTCGAAAGCAACCCCGAGGATGCTGATGACCAGCGCGGTTATGTGGGTGTGATTAGTATGTTTGGCTCCATGGCATGCCGCTATTATAAACATAGTTGCTGACTGGCTGTTATCTTGCTAGGCTGGGACAGGCTTGACACGATCAAGGCTTTTCTCGCCACTCCGAACTTTGCTACCTTCAAGTCATCGTTGCTTAAGTTCGTGGAAGCACCCCCGGTCCTTCAGTTTTTCGAAGAGACCGTCGGAGCCACACCCAGAGAGACGTTACAGAACAGCACTCATCTGTTCGTCATCAAGGCTACTGGTGCTGAAGCTGAAGTGGAAAATTCCAAAATAAAGTGGAACAAGCTCGTGGCAGCTTTCCAAGGCATCGAAGGCAATGAGACCCTATCTCATTGCGGTGATGGGAGGGAAGTCCATGAAGGCCAGTTCGCTGGTTTCAGTGGATGGAAGTCAATCACAGTACGTTATGACTTTGATAGAACAGTCCCCAGACACGATTTCATGGTAGTTATGGCAACTGATCTGACTGGGTAGGCTCTCAACGACGCACTTCGAGATGTTCAGGTCCAGGAGCATCTCAAGGACCTGCGAAACTCTGGCGCACAGGTTTCCACCTTCATTCTGGAACTCAAGCAAATCATTTGATTTCCGATGTGTCTAGGTCGACGAGTCATCGACAACCTGCAGGCGAATCTTGATTTGCTGGATGTTTAGTCGGGGGCTTGCTGTTAGTTATGGATGTAGCATCGACCTTTGGAAGGCTATGTCAATAGAAATGGAGAGAATTCCACTCAGTCTATTCACAGAATATCTTTTCTGCTGCCTCTTCCGGGTCAATCACAGCTGCCTTCTTTTATACGCAGCGTTCGGTTGTTCCCAGCTGTAAAGGCTTTCGCCTTTCCCGTGTTCCAGCAAAATGGGCTCTCAGAAAAGGTTTTAAGGGACAATGGATGCTGAGCACAGCTATTTTCAAGTTTGATATAACACAGTATTATTGATATTCCGGCATGTATATGAGATTGTTCGCCTGTTCCTACTCGGCGAAGAGACTAACCAAGTCATCAATGCACAAGGGCGAGGAAGAACACAACTCATAGCTTGGATGAGGGGCTCAGGGCATTGCAGCAGCTTGCACCACTTGCGCTGCCGCTACCTTTCTCCGACTCAACCAGGGTGCTCTGATTGAACTTCTGCTCGCTTGGCGGGACATCCAAAGCCGGGTTCTTATCAAAGAAGTTGACGGGCTTCAGGTGCACCTTGAGGATCTCAACAGGCATAACCGGGAAGTCTTCGATTCTTGGCACATGGTTGATGCCGAACTGAACCCATACGACGATGTCGGAGTTCGGAGTCAGAGTCTCGTTCCGCTCAGCCCAAGTTCTCACCCCTGTACCCCCGCGAGACTGATTCGTGTACCAACCGCCAGCGTAAAGCTCACGGTCACGGTGAATCGTGACATAGATGTTGTGGTCGGCAAATTCTGCTCGCTTGTGGTTATAGCTTTCAGAGTCGCCCATGAGCTTCTGGAACGGAGGAGCCATGATCTTGTAGGCAACAGGCTTGCCGTTGACTGGGTTGAGCGAGTTGGGGTTGGTGATCTTGAAAGTTCTGTTGGTGTCGACATCAAGGTCCAGGCCAGCCGTCTTCTCAACTGCCGTTTCAATGACCCCATAGCCAATGCCATGAGGGTTCCAGTCGGGATCTCTCGGCATTCGGTGAGCCTCTTGATAGACGAGCTGGTTGGTGTGGCCATCGATCATGGGGTCTACTCGGAGAGAGAAGATGTGCTGGTGGTGGCCGGCAAGAACGCCTGGGTGGACGACAGTACCAAAAGGTACTCCGATCTTGTCCAAATCGTGGTCGATAGGTTGAGTCGACAAGATACCGGTAGCTCGTACTTCATATGTAACCTCACCAGCCTGGTTGAAAAGGAACATCAAAATGTACTCATAATTAGAGACAGTAATGATGGATTGAAGCACCAGCTCTCGTGACCTGACGACTGCAGCACGGCCAGTACGGTAGTTGGTGTGCTTCCAACCGATGCCGGCATCTTGCTCGTGAATGCAGATACAGTTTTCCTTCGCCTCCGGCTGACCCTTATCATCGGAGATGACTCCGCTGAGATACTGAATGCTTCCGAGGCAATCGCAGCCAAGCTGGAGATTATTGGCTGTAGCGCCGGCTCCAGCATCACCCAAGTCAAAGGCAGTTTTCTTGAAGAAGGGATGACGAGGGTCTGCATACGGAACATTCATGTCCGAGAGAGACAGTCTATAGAAGAGTGGCCGGCTATCGTATTTGACGTTATAAAGGACCATGCCTTCACGCTGGTTGAAGCCTGGTCAAGGTGTCAGTTGCCTCGTCGTGTCTTGGAGCCAAAAGCATCCGCTCACCGATGAAGAAAGTCCACTTCTGCCACTCGAGAACATGTCCAGTTTCACCAACAGGGGTAACCTTGAAGCTGGGTCCCTCAGGTTGGCTTACCTGCAGAGGCTTGAGGTCCTTGCGCAGGTCCTGGCTCTCTGGGATGTACTCGTTTGGAGGTTTGGGCTGGTATGGACTGACGGGCTTGATGGTATTGTCGGCGCCGGTGGGCATGACGTCGATGCGGATCAACTTGTACTTGGTGCACTCGATCACGGGCGAGATGGGAAGGGGAAATGCGTAGTGATTTGAGTCGGCCTCGGAGGAGTTGTTCGGATCTCTCATGTAGAGAAATACCTGATACAGGCGCTGCTCGTCTCCAACACCGTCAGTTCCTGCGTGAGATTAGCCTTCCGATCTTTTCGCCTGCAAGTTCCGCCTCATATTTACCGTAGATCCAAGGGTCTGCGCAAACAACGGTGCCCTCGGGCAACTCGAGCTTTTTGATCTCAGCCAAGACGGCCGGGTCTTCAAGCGCGATCTTTTCGACCATCTGGGCTTCATCGTAGTCGACATTGCCATGAAGATTGGCACCGAGCTTCACGTTGCTTTCGACCTTTGCAGTGGTAAGGTTGACGATAGCTTCATGGAAGAGTTCCTGGTTCAGTCAGTTCTGACATTCTCCGTATGAGAAATTGAAGCTCCGTTGCATCTCTTACTGTTTTGCGAATATAGTACGCAGCAAAGACGCGGCGATCGGGAGGTGACGGAGACAACCCCTTCTCTTGGGCCGTGAGATAAGGAACTAATTCTTGCTTCGCAGGCTCATTGAGAGTAATGGCCTTGAATTGCAGAGCGACGGAGGCCGGCCACGCAGCTTGAATTAACTCCGCAGCGTACTGGATTTCTGCACCCGTCAAAGGGGAAAGTGGATGAGGGATTGAAGACATGGCTGAGAGATGCGGGGGTTGAGATGATGACCAGAGATGAGACCAAGAAGGGTGATGTTGGATGGCGGCGATACGGTATTTATCAGCCCCATAGCATTATCGGGCTTTGTAGCTGGCCTCAAAAAGACCCGGAAAGCTTTCCCGGGTCAGCCCCAGCCTGCATCAAAGTCAGTCTCTTGCAGATTATCCACAATTCGGCGTTGGCACGAGCTTGGCGAAGACCCTCCATCCCGGCTTTTACGTGTGTGACCCGCACTTCCTTACATAGACAAGCGTGCTGCTGCAAGAAGAACAAATTTCTTTGACACAATTTCGTCTATAGGAGGCAAAGATGTAGACATTAGGAAATAACATACTGAGTATTATTGAAGTCAAAACGATAAGGCATTGGTACTATAATTCTTGAGTCTAGACGAATAGCCAGGTCTCCTCCAATTGCCAGACATATTTCAGCCAAGAGCTGCTAGATTCATCCCCAGCTTCTCGAGCCCAGATTCTCTCGAGAATTTCACCAGCATTCTTGACATTGTAACAACATGAAGACACCCAAATACGTTGAAACACTGTGCGTGCCATTGTTTGGAGCTCGATATCTTGTGCCTCTGCGCCGAGGATGAAGGCCGGCCACACCAAGCTCTTGATATGGAAATCTTCGGCAGGAACAGCAAGGAGGTGGAGCATCGCAGGCCTCATTATTTCGACCACGTGGGGGTACGATAAGTAATGTTGGCCAGGAGGCGCGCCGATGATGTGTGATGCGTATACCTCAACACCCGCTTTGTAAGCATGGGCAAGATGAGAGCGGGACTCGTGGTACTGGATATCTGGAAAATCTTGAGCCCACGCTAATGGCGAGAAATTGAGCAAGGCTTGGATTAGATCTGATAAGGCTTGTCGTCTTTCCACGTTCATGTGATGCAGCGAGCGCATGGAATTGATGCCAGATAAGACGTAGAGCAGCTCTGCAGGACAACCGACCCACGTTTGGTTTTCGGAATTCCGAAGGTTCTGGAGAAAGAACGGATCCAGTATGGGATATTGATTGGTAGGGGGGTTCAAGGCCGGTGCAAGAGTAGCCCCCAAGATCCCAAAGCTGCCTCGCTAATCAGTAAGCGACAAGACAAGAGGAATAAGGAGGAAGAACATACGTCGTGCATGCCGTGTCAAAATATCTCAACCACGGCGCGGCTTCGTTATCCTCGCTAATGTCAGATAATCTCCGGCTCTGTACCATCTCTTGAGCACCCCGGAGATGGTGATTCCAGCCATGGCTTCCGAATTCCACAACATCCATGCAAACGAAGAGAATAACTGCTGCTACGACTGCGTCACTGTTCCTTGAGGGATCATCCTGAACCTCCTGTTTAAGCCAATGCAAGGCATTTTGTTTGTGCAACAATGCCGTCTGTAGTGATTCTCGAAAGCTGGGCTGACCCATTTGCCAACTATGATCCTGCCAGAGATACCATGGCCCGGGATTCTCAGACTTATGCGATAAAAGGCTCCCGGACGGCATTTGCCCGTGGCTGATGACCATTCGATGGGTGCAGTGAAATGCAGAGATTGAAATGACAGCGTGTAAGAAGGCTCGGCTTTTCGATATCAAGGGCATCAAAGCCAAGAAAGGGTTGGTTGATGGTCGATCATAGACCACAGATTCTCTGGAAAGATCCAGGTCGACTGGTGCATTGAATGGTGTGAGAAGGTAGGGCAAGGATACAGATTGAAAAGAACTCACAGTAACGAATGTACTTCCTGCATTCTGGGGACAGGTCTTGCATGTCCGGCTCTACGAGAGACCAAGGAATAGCCGAAGATGATGGGCCAGTCTCCGAACCTGACTCCATGAGCTCGCCTTCATCCGGCGACCGCCAAGACACCCCTGATAAACTTCCATCTACTGGATTGAAAGTGGCCTTGCCCATAAGCTTGCCCCTGCTAGCCATGCTATGAGTCCACACCAGCCTTTTTGGTCGCTCATACCCCTCACATCGGAGCTTCAGGGAGGAGCAGCGGAGGCACGCGGGCAAGCGTCTGTCACACTTGACCCGCTTTTGGCGGCAGGTGCGGCACGAATTCGAAGCGAAGAATGCATCTTGCATGGCTTTCAAGACATGCTTGGCTCCCTACGCAGTGGGTGGCTGGCGGCCGGTCTGATGTTTACGGCTGATGTTCGTGGGAGGTCGTGGAGACGTGGGAAGTGAATTGTAAGGCGGGGCCCTTCTTAACACTTCTTAACACCGGGAGATCGGGACGGTGGCAGATTGTGCGATATACACTAAACCTATTTTGGCAGCCAAGACGCGATCCCTGTCAGTATCCCCAGATTTCGCCCTTATCTCAACCCCTGACTCGACCCGCCGGCATCGGTGCCGGAAGAGATGCTTCATATGCTTGAAGGGCTTGCGCAAGCTGGTTGAAAGTCTGGTTTATGTCTCGACGAAAGCTCTTCTGACGAGCTTTATGGCACCGATGTGCTAATATCTAAGATTCTCAAGCTTCAAGAAACCCTGACTGTTCTTCGATCACGTTATCAAACTCGAGTATGAGCAATGTATTCTGCCTACGAGTTATTGGCCGTGATAAATATGACACTTCCCGGTTGTCCGTGACTCTGAAATTTTTAAAGGCGTCCATGCTTTGATTCGTGGCTTTTACGGCTTGTTACGCGTCAGATTTCCAAAATGATCCTCCATCACCGCGCAGTAGACGATTCTGTAATACCATCCCCACTTCCCCAATCGGTTGGATATGGAGTTGTTGTGGCTTTGGGCCTCTTGTTTGCATTTGGTAAGTTTTTTCAACATATTTTAAATGGTGTTTCTCGAAATGAAACTGACGAGGCATAACCGACTAGGCATGATGGGTGTAACGGCTATCTTGAAAAAGACTCTACGCGAAGACAACTCCAAGGCTGAAACGTAATTTGATAACATGAATGTGAGACAAGTACATACCTAATAGTATTTTTGCAGATTCATGGTTGCAGACCGAAGCGTGAGAACAGGTCTCGTCGCATCAGCGGTGGTTTCGGTCAGTTCCTCTACAGCGCTGCAAACCTAACAGTCAGTCAGAACAGAATGAACTGGGAATGAGCTAACAGACTTATAGTCATGGCTGTGGAGCACAGCCCTTTTGAGTTGTGTGCTTGTGACTTATAGCTACGGCATAAGCGGTGCCTTTTGGTACGGTGGAGGTTGTTCGACAGTGATCGTGTTCTTCGGCTATCTTGGCGTTGTTTGCAAGAGTCGAATCCCAGAGGCACACACAGTTCTGGAGGTTATTCGTATTCGATACGGTACCTGATTTTCTGAAAACATTTTTCTTGTTACCAGTTGAGTTACTGAATGTGTGTATAGGTACCGTTGCGCACCTGAGTTTTACTTTTCTCGCCATCGTGAACAACCTTCTCAACACCATCAACATGATACTTGGCGCTTCTGCTGCTATATCGTTTCTGTACGTACGTATCTTGCATAACATGATATGATTTCTCCATACATTCCGGTATGATCTAACAAAAGAAAGCACGGGAATTCACATCATGGCGTCAACATTCCTACTGCCTCTTGGAGTTGTCCTTTACACCCTTGTGGGTGGTATCAAAGCCACGTGAGTGATGAGTCCATCAGGTTGGTAGTTGTAATCCCGGGCTTTGATTGCTGAGTATTTTAGATTTCTCACCGATTACATCCATACTTTGATCATTCTCATATTATGTTGCTGGCTCACAGCTAAAGTCATCGCATGCGAAGCTATCGGGTCCATTGGGAGGCTGTATGATATGGTCCTTGCAGCTGAAGAGCAGCATTTTGTGGAAGGAAACTACAGAGGCTCTCTTCTCACATTGACTTCGCAACAGGGCATCTTTTTTGCCATCATCCTTCTGGTTTCTAATTTCGGAGCTGTCATTGTGAGTGTAATATGATTGCCCTTAAGATGTATGCTAAGAACAAATGGCAGATGGATACAGGATACTTCCTGAAGGCTTTCGCAGCTTCTCCAAAAGCCGTAGTTCCCGGTTATGTTCTTGGGGGAGTCTCTTATTTCAGCATACCGTGGTGTTTAGGAACTGTTGTTGGAATGGCGTCACTGGGACTCGAAGCCTTGCCCGTCTTCCCAACTTATCCAAGAGTAAGTCTTCAATATTGGAGCAATGGCAAGACCTTCCGGGGCTGATCATCTCCCAGCCTATGACGACCTCTGAGGTTACGAACGGACTAGCTTTGCCATATGTGGCCGTCGCTGTGGCAGGCAAAGGTGGCGCAGTTGCCGTACTCTTGATGACTTTCATGGCTGTGACATCCACACTCTCCGCCCAGATCCTTGCTGTATCCTCTATTTTAACCTTCGACATTTACCGAGTATACTTCAACAAAAAAGCAGGAAACAAGGAGGTTATTCGCTGGGGTCACCTTGGAGTGGTTCTATTTGGCGTGGTATCTGCCGGGTTCACTGCAATGTTTCACTACATTGGGGTGGATATGGGCTGGACTCTGTACATGCTTGGTAAGTGTTTCAGCCCGTGACATACAGTCCTCAATTTGAAGTCCTGACTTGGATTCTACAGGTGTGCTTACATGTCCTGGTGTAATTCCAATGATATTCACCATCACTTGGCGCAAACAAAGTACAATATCTATAGTTACTTCAGCCTTCCTGGGCATGGCCACAGGTCTTGGGGTCTGGCTTGGTTCTGCCTATGCCTTTTCCGGAGAGGTGTCAATCTCATCAACCGGAGGCACGCTCGCTTGCATGTACGGCACGGTAGCATCGCTTTTCAGCCCGATGGTGTACAGCATATGTATTTCACTCATCAAGCCAGACAACTACGACTGGGATGACTTCAAGGAAGAGACGCTGGCCATTGACTCCGAAGACAGCCCCATACAGAATATCACGACTCAGCAGAGAAAATCTCCAGAAAGCACAAGCATTCCGATCTCGGACGGCAGGGTTCATAAACGATGGGCTAGATATGCCTTGTGGTGGGCGATTAT